TGCCAGGAAGGAGGTGAATTAACACAGGGGGCATCTTGTTCACTATTGCACATTTACAACTGCAAGAAACATGCAAAGTATGAATTTTGGGGGGAAATGACCCCCACCTGTTACAGCATAAGAGGGTTGGTTTCCTGTAGTCACTGAGTGAAGAGAGCTGCTGGTATAGCAGTCACTTTTATATGACCTGCTGACTTGCTAGATATCATTTACCCTGGCTTGTCTAATCTCTTAGCTAGAGGAAATTAGGGCGGGGGGGGAAGCCAGTGATGTAATGAATGCAGCTCCAAGAGTGTATCCGTATAGCTAAGCTAGTCCCACTGTAGTGAACGTGGCCACCTGCAGTGCGATTCCTCTAGAAGCGGGCAGGAGCTGGTGCACCGAGCCGGCAGGGTTTGCAGCTGCCTGTCTGCGTGTTCCCAGTGAAGGCGTTTCTGTGCTCAGGGGCGATGCGGTTTGGCCTGTGAATTCTTCATGGACTGTGACTCGTTCCCTGCTGATGATATATTAGTATTAGGGGTGTAGCTACATGAGATTTATGCTTCTGAATCTAGCCTGTCTCTCCCCCTGCTTTGTATGTGTGGCTTCTTAAATACGTCGCAGCTTTACCAAATTTTGAGTTATTGTCTCCCATTGCGGAGGAATGCTTCATACCCTTTTGCTCCTTTGCTTTTTCAGGGTGTTGGCTTGCTGGGTTGGGTTTCATCTCCAAGAAGTCTGTCTGTGCTGTAGAGGGGGAAGCTGGTAATACAAAACACCCAGACAAATCCCTCTAGGCACTGCTATCATAAGATATTTTTGCATGTTTTAAGACCCTCCCTGCTAACTATAGAGTGGATGGGGACATCAATAAATTATAATTTGATAATAAATTATTGTGGCCACACATACAACTTTGCTAATACATACAAACAGATTTTTCCCTTTTTTGACAGCATGAATGGTGTCTGACATTTCAGGGCTATTAGGGCTTCCTTGTCTTTTCAGTTGTTTTGTTCTTCAGGATGGCATCTATTTCTGCATCTGTCTGCTTTTTATATTACTTTCCTGTCTCAAATAAGCATCTCAATAAGGCTGTTAGCATTCTTTCTCCAGTTGGTTATATTTGTTTTCCTTTGCTTCTGGGAATCCTTTACACTGATTTCTAGTTATGTTGCAGTGTGATTTTACTGTTAGATGAGCATTGAAAGAGAGTTCCTTCCTGTCCTGAGAACAGCTTCCCAATCCACCGATGATACAGTTGCTCATTGTTCTTTCCCAATAATAATTGGGCATATTTTGCATTAGCAGGTGTTCAAAAGTTTATGAAGCAAATTTTTGGGCCTCTTTTTTTGCTGTGAAGGTCTGTAGACAGATTAAGAAGTGTAACACAATTACATGCCTACAGTACCTAACCCATATAAATATCTGATAAATTTTCAATGTGTAATATGCTTAAGTTAAAATACTAGCTTACTCATGTATGCCGTCTCAGTTACCTTTCATATCTGCCAGTTGTTATGTAGAAAATACTAGACTTTTTGCTCAGGCACCCTCGTAAGTAATTTGAACGTGCACTCCCCTCCCCGCATTGGTGCTGTTAACCAGAAAGATTTGCAGGCTTGTCCTTTATGCTGAACTCAGGATAACTGCAGGTACTCCCAGTGCAGTGCCATATTGGGAAAATCCTATTCCAGCATGAGATTGTAGCCGATTTACTCATTTGCTCAGTAACAAAGATTCAATGAAAAAGGTCTGGTTGTGAAAATTCTTCTTTCCTTTTTGCCCTCTCTCCAATCTGATGAAAATAACTCGTTTGTAATAAGTCTGTCTAGGATAGGACTGTTTTGTTCTGTAAATTGATAGATTTTTTCATAGGTAAGGCATACATTCAAATAGGGCCCAAAAGTCATCACCATCCATCAGTTCCTGAGAAATTGTATTATGTTTCCTGCACACTTTTTAATAGAAAAATGTGTGTCTCACACTATCTGCTGTCACATTCAGCACCTGCAAATAAGTAATAATGGATGGGACATGTAAGCCACATGTTATTGATGAGCTCTATTTTTTTGGTATTGATATGAGTTAGCAAGGCTGTTCGGGAGAGCCTTGTCTTGAGTTCGAGCTCAGTGGTGCCTCTTCTATGAAAGAAAAAAGATAATCCTGCTTCCTTCAGAAGCTCTAGTTCACTCTTACTTTAATATTTTTCTTTAATGAGGGGATGTATATTCTGCATATGCAATAACATTAGCTTTTCCACTTTCCTCAAATGGAAGACTAAAGCTTTACATGTCTACCTTTTTCTTAAATTGTGTAGCTGGATCTATGTTAATATTTTTTCATGCTTTTGTATTTCCTGTAGCTGACAGCTTTATTTTCTTGGAATTCTGTCCTGGTTTCAGCTGGGATAGAGTTAATTTTCTTCCTAGCAGCTGGTACAGTGCTGTGTTTTGGATTTAGGGTGAGAACAATGTTGATAACACACCGATGTTTTAGTTGTTGCTGAGCAGTGCTTGCACTAGTCAAGGGCTTTTCAGCTTCCCATGCTCTACCGACTGAGAAGGCTGGAGG